TGATCATTCTACTTATTGGAATGATCGTTTTAAGCATGGAATTCTGATGTAAATGGTTTACTTAAGAAATAATTTTTTATGCTTCAAATCTTATGAGGAATGTATATCATATATAGCATACAAAAGTTTTTATCCGAAAAACATAAATCGATATGGTATGAAAAATATTGAGATTGTACTCACCACTTGATGCTCCTTTTTATAATGTTGCTAACAATCCTCTGTGACTTTCTAGTAGGTAAGACAAGAACGTCATTGCTCCTCTTCTTCCTGGTCCTCTTCTCCCTGGTATTCTTAGTTTCTTGTTGGATATTATTCACAGATGTTTCTTCTTCTTCTGTAACCAAATCTTCAGCCTTGGCAGAATTTTGAACCCATTCTGCTATGTGATCCTGGACCTTTTGATTAGTCGATAATGCAGATTCTGCTTGTAACTCTTCTTCATTAATAAGCTCGCTAACAGTGGTAGGCGGCCCAACAATTCCAACTTCTGTATGTTCGATAATTTCTACTGAATGTTTAGTTTCAGAATTCGCTTCAGACGATACTGTTTCACTTTGTGCACCAGCATTCATTTCGTTGTCCGCATTTTCCTTTTTTCCTTCTTTCTTCAACTCTCTATCTGATGTTTTTCTAAGTTCTTCATTATCCGTTTCATCTTCTTCATTTTTAGATTCCGACAATTGTTGAACTTCCGTAGAACTTAAATTTTCGTGCACTACCTTTAATATTTCGTTTAAAGTCTTCTCTTCTTCTAATATATTTTTAACATCTTTAATGTTTAAATCTGAACTATCCATATTTTTATTAGATTTCTCTTTTCCATCCACTTCATTTAACTTCGCAATCACTTTTGCATCTTCCTTAGGAGTTTTTTCACTTGCAGTAGTTTTACTTGTAATTGAGCCTTCAGTATTTGTAACTGATTGTTCCCCTTTTACTTCAATAGCACCAGCTAGTTCCAAATTGCTTTCACTAGCATCATTCGTCTGTACGTCCTGCGTCTCAATGTTTTCTGCCTTTTTTATAGACGTGGTAGAATCATTTAAAATTTCCTTCTCATCTACCATTTTTATTGAATCTGTGTTTTCGACTTTATTTTCTGCCATTATTGTATATGTTTATTCCATAGATTCATTTAAGAACATATAAACATTTCAGTAATGAGTAATTTTTGAGGTATATCAAATTCACTGGTAGCATGTTTCCATGTGAGCATATTGTATTTACAAATTCAGCTACGTTATCAGCAAGTTATTATCCACTTACATATCTCATTGTTAACCTGTAAAAAATAAAGTGCATTAAAATTACAACCATATGATCAACTAAACGTTAACTACGTTTATTGATTGATAGTCGGTAAAAGCGTCAACGCAAAAGTATTTAACATTTTGAGGTTAGAATTATATTGCGTTATATACAACATTCGATTAGAATCATATAATAAAGGACTATACAAAATCATTCTGTTTATGGTATCAATATTCTATAATCATCCGCACAAATGTCATACATTCTTTAGATCTTCAAGTAAAACAAATACTTCGTATAATTCAAGTTAAATGTGCATTATATTGTGATCGTACATTAAACTTCATAATAATAATTGATTGGCAATTATTTTTCAATAATAATGTTATGAATGATGCCCCAATATCTGTGTCACCATTTCTATATGCAGAAATCAAATTTCCTTGTAATTTCATGCAGAGGAAATTATAGATTACGTTAAAACATCATAGAATATAAAGAAATGTAGTTTATTTATATGCTATCTTTATCATCTCGTGCCGATGGACACAAATATTGAACGTATGTTTAACAACTGTATTTCGAATATCGTGAATTACCTTCTACTTATTACAATTTTCTCACTTTACAACAGAGACTGCACTTTATATTCACGCTACGCAATGCACTTTAGAATAAACTGTGACATTTGCCAGGCTTAAAAGTTACTTAATGACACCATCGAAGTACAACATTATTGGCGATGAATGAACGACACGTTCATAACCTCACTCTTTTTCCTCCTGACAATTCAATCACGACAGTCAAACACGAAAGCACGGGAACGAGGAAATCGCGGTCAACGATAGTATCGATTACGCGCGATCAGCGTTAAAATAACGAAAAATAAAATAGAGAAGGCACGTAAACTACTGTACTAAGAAGGATATAAAAGTCAGAGGGACATGTCAATCAACCTTGTTGTGTATCTGTCTTTTTCCCCCGTTTTCTCTTTCTGTTTCAAAGGATGTGCTCGTATTTTTGCATTATGGCTGACGGTCACAGAAACGATCCGATCGCAATGATATGCGAGATATACTTAAAAATATGTTTTTCACGGTACCGAAGTGAAACGAGAACACGACCCCCCGTGATACGTAAGGCTAGTGACCTCTACTTCTTCCTCTTCCCAGTGTGCGTTTATACGTGTATGAATGTATTTCCGTGCGTCATGCGACGTGCTTACTACGATTTATCTACTACTTCGACGCATCTTGAAAATCTAAGATTCAAACACATATGGGATCACGTATTTCACGCGAGGGAATAATAGGAATAGTGTAAGGCAGTGTCGATGAGTACATACTGTTGTGTTTGCGTCGCATTATCTGACATTTCATGCACATTGCATCTTCGCGGATTTTTTTGTTCCGACCAATCAAACGCGGTTTTACACGTTCCTTTGACAGCGACGCCTTTCGTGAAAGATGGCCACGTACATAATTTAATTATTACGAAATGCGAATTAGGATTAGAGCACGTTTATAATTTAACATTAAATAAACAATGTTCATAACACACCGAAGAGAAGAAATCCACTTGCTCGCGACACGTTACAATCGAAGACTATTTTTCGTTGCGGCCAAGCCGCACGCGCATGTTCCCAACAAAATGGCCTTTCCGCAATGTAGCGCTTACTCTTGCTCTTGCTATTTGTGCTTTTTCGTTATAACTTTTTTTATCTTTTGTCTTGAAATATTGCTACTTATTGACAATTATATTATTGTAGACAGGAATGATGCTCCTTTTAAAACCGATTGTTAGTTTATATTAAAACAGAGAATGGCTTTAAAAAACTCAATAATCAATCTTCTGATGCATGTTTGGCAGTGGCGCCAGTTTTAAATCCATTAGATAAAGGATATTTTCGAATTGCCAAAATTATCAGAAGTACCAGTAATACACAGGGTTTCACAGTTGTAAATATAAAAACTTCGTCAGTATGTTCTATGAATTGAAACGAGAAAAAACAAGTGTATGAATGTAAACTTATTAATTTCACTTCAAAATGCAAACCCTTTTCCCCGCGAACACTTGACATCTTCCTAAAAATAAGATTATTACTCTTCGAGTTTCATATTAAATACTTCTGTCATTTTTTGTTGTTTATATAACATTTTCTTCTTGTTTCGGTTCTCAAAACATACTGATGAAATTTGACCGTTTAAAACTGAGATATCTTGTACAATACTACAAGGAATATTAATTTTATTTTATTACAATCTACATGTAAAAGATAATTATGTTCTTGCCAATACTCCCCCTCCCCGTTCTTTAAGTTCTATGTTAACTTACCTCAATATTCTATGATTGTACAAAATAAGATTATAAAAAATGCAAAAGTCTTATGGTTGGAAAAAATGAAATAATATCAGAATTATACGTATATGGATTGTGTTAAGAAAGAATGGAACGTATTGCATTGGTCTCATATATTTACAGATTATTTATGATTTATGATCAATAATGTCGTACAATATATATATCAACAAAATAATGTTTTAGTCGTCCTTATGTAACTAATAAAATCTAAAGGCTAAACAGTCAAGGTTCATCTAAAAGTTGACTCCTTTCGGCACCGCAAACATCTCGTTCGCGGCTCCATTCTTGTTCGCTAACTAATAATAAATAAACAAGCGGCTATAAATCTATACATTTCACGTGCCACACGGTAGTGAGAGTACTGATAGTAATTAATATTGTGAACCACGATCGCAGTGAACACGGTGTCGAGCAGTCTCTTTTCAGTCTCTATCTAAATGCTTCTTAATGATAGTCTGAAAAAAAATATCCAAGATATATTATGTATTTCCATGAAAGTGAAAAAGACACCTCTCTAGTTCCGTACAATATATACACGTATTATTATAAAATAAAATTGTTTACTTATTTAGTCTTTGTTTCTTCGTTTCTATAATCGACATGCTCAGTTCTTGGTAAAAAAAAAACTTTTGCAAAAATATTTTCTGGCAACGTGCCAG